GTATGGGTATCTTTTACATCTTGTCATCTTCAGAGTGGTTGCCTCTACTCTTAGACTTGATACTATCAAGCATACCAAATTCAAATAAAATCAGCCAAGGCAAAACCGTGGTCTAACAAACCAGCTTCAAATAAGATCAGTCATAGTAATACAGTGTAAGTAATACAGGGTTTCAGTTTAAGTTAATAGGAGATTAAGGATAGTTACTGTGGTATAACCTGCTATTTTTGGGTTAGATGTCTGTGCCCTCACATCTGATGGTCTGCAGGGCCTGCCCTGGGAAGTAGCTGGGAAGGGTTGCAAGTCATGGTCTCTGGCTCCCCCTAGTGGCTACTATTGTATTTTGCTGAAGCACACAACACAACTGCAAGGCTCTTTTCCTGGTGTCCTGCAAGCAGAGGTCCCTTGGCGTGCTCTTTGGGTCCAGTGGCAGTCCCAGCTGGATGACTGCAGGAAAAATGTGGCCCCGTTCCCTTTTGCTCTTTCAAGAGGTCTCCCTGTGGGCGGATGTCCCTGTTCCGTGTTCCCATTCTGTGGCACTGTTGGCCTGTGTGGGCCTAGGTGATGCTGACATATGTCCCAATCAGGTCATCTCAGCCCACTGATGCGGAGGTCCCACCTCCCTGGGTGGGCTCCCCATGGGGCTCTGCATTTGTCTAGCCCAGGGTGATGTCAACGAAAGTGGGAGGCTTTGGAAGCATTCTCATTCCCCTCCTGACACTATGCTTCGGGGTGGACAGTGGAGATATCCCACAGCGTGGACAGACCTTGAGTCTCCAGGTCCTGGAGGCTCTGTGTGGTCAGGCATCTGGGCCCACTGTGAGCCCAGAGCTCACATGCTCACAGTCTGTGTGGTGGCATGGTTGCCATGGTGGTGTGTGTGCATGGGTGCTGCAGGCAATAGAGGCCCCTTGTGCCAGGCTTGGAGGGTGATAAAATTCTCAGAGGGTTAGTGGAGAAGACATTTGGTGTGAGTAAGGCAGGGGCCTGGGAATCAGTTTCCTGGAATCCACTGTGGCTGGTAGACCTGGGGTGTCCTGTTGTGAAGCCAGGGTCCCATGCTTCAGGGAAAGTGGAAGTACCATCTGGTAAAAGGCAGCTGTGTGCTGCCACCTGCTCACCAGCATCCTTGGCAGAGATCTGTGCCTTGTGCAGGAGGGCATGGAACTTATCAGCACGCCAATAAGGGGAGAAGTGGTGTTCACTTGTTCTAGGGCCCTCGGTGGGCGCTGTGGTGTAGCAGGTGTTGGAACCAGTCCCGAGGTGAGGGATGGCCAGGGAATGGACCGGGGACTCCTTCCCTTCCCCAGTGTCTTAGGCAGAGGCAGCCGACACACACACACACACACACACACACACACACACACACACACACAGAGTCGGGGCAGCCACCATACTCCTTTGAACAAGAAAGACACAGGACTCATGCAGGTGGGAAGCGTCTCAGGGATCCCACGAGGAAAAGCAGAATGCCTGAGCGCCCAGGCCAGGCAGCGTGGGATTGGGGAAACGGATGCCCTTCCCGACCTCACACGTGCTCTCCATCTCCACACTCAGGGGAGCTGCCCTGCGCGCACGCCTTCTGCTGAGGTTCCTGCTCCTGGGCACCAGAGGACCTCCGAGGGCTGCAGGCCTGTGTCCTCCCTCCCGACGAGCTGCGGGCCTGTGGACGGTTCAGGACGGTAAGGGTTCTCCTTGGCAGTCGTGGATGTGTTGGTAAAGATGTCTGAATGCCAGGACCTCTGTCCTCGCAGGCCGGAACGGCCCGTGGCTGTCACACTGTGATGACCATTGTCTTGCGGCACAGAGGCGGGCCCTGGGTCTTGCAGGGCCTTCAAGCTCTTCTTGTTGGGGGGCTTGCTGTGTCCCCCATAGAGGACTGGAGGCACCTGAGGCATCTCTGCATGTGCTCGGATCGATGATGATGCCCCAAAAAACATTCCTTGGAAAAGCTGAACAAAATGAGTGAGAGCTCTAATCCGTCACTCTCATCGTGCCTGAGGTCCAGCACACTGCCTCGCACGGGGACCGCAGGAGCAGGGCTCCCCGTCCTCGGGCTCACGGTCCTCAGACAGTGCAGGGGCGTCACGGGTCCGCCTCCAGGCAGGAGAGGAGCCTTCCTGAAAGCTGGGCAGCCCCTGCCCTGTCTGTCCCCCTGCATTGTCTCGGAGGTGGGGGGGCGGTGCCTCCGCCTTTTGGCTCTGTGCATTCTGCTCCCCTCTCTCTGCCCTGCGTGCCAGCTTTTCCTCCGGGAGTTTGGTGCAAGTCCCAGGGCTCCTTGGTGCCTTCCTGTGTGTGTTTGTTTGTTTTTCTTCTCTACTCTTGTCCTTAGACTGGTGTGAGGGCACCCTCTCTGGTAAGGTTTTAGCTCCTTCTACCTAGAGTTAGTTATGAAACTAATGAGGCCCCTGCCCTCTCCTCTGTGTGCCTGTGGACGCCTGCTCCTGTATTCCCAGGCTGATGTGCGGATCTGTCTGTCTGTCTGTCCTCCTCAGGGCGAGTGGCCAGTGCAGCCCCGGTCAGCTCCTGTGCCGCATCCCCCCTGGTGGCGCCAGGCCATTGCTGCAAGCCTCGTGTCCTGAGAGCCCGCTCCACATGTGTGGACGGGTGAGCGCGGTGAGTGCTTGTGTCTGTGTGGGGTGGATGTTGTCCTGAGGACCTCATAGTGTCACCACAACCTCTGTCTCCCTGGGCCAGCTGTGGCCTATGGGGCTTCTCGCCTCATGTGGCTGTGTCTTCCCAGACACGGTGTCCAGGCTGTGGTCCTGCAGGGCCTTCGAGGTCTTCCAGTTAGACCACACACATGGCTGTGGCGTCTTTCAATGTGCTCGGATCGATGATGACACCCCAATTACATTCCTTGGAGCTGAACAAAATGAGTGAAAACTCCTAAACCGTCATTCTCATCGTGACTGAGGTCCAGCACGTGGCCGCACACAGGGAGGCAGGAGCAGGCCTCCACTTGAGATGCGCACACAGCCTTCCCACTCAGGGTTCGTCCCTGTCCAGCCCCCGCCCCAGGCCCTCAGGAGCATGTCCTCCCTGGGGTGGCCCGGCTAGGCGAGGTTCGGGTTTCAGTGACCCGTGAGCTCTGGTCGGCATTCTGGAGCAGAAGGGTGCTGAAGGCTCGGTGACTTTCCCCCAGGCCTCGGGGTGGGTGGCGCAGTTAGTGCCTCTGATCGGCAGGGTTGGCAGCCTCACTGTGCTCTGGGCCGGTCCTCATTGTCCTGGGATCGGGCGAGGTCCCCTGGAGCAGAAGGTGGTTCTGTCTGAGTGAGCTGACGTGCACAGGGGCCAGGCAGATGGAGTGTGTGGAAAGGCAGCTGCTGTCCACCGCCAGTCTGCCTGGTGAGATCTCCTCCCTCTGGGCTCAGCTTTGCCTGGTGACAGAGAGACAGCGCAAGTGTTGGGAATGAGGGAAGCCTTGAGCCTGGGCCCTGTGCCCAGGGAATTGCAGAGCAGCTGTCATGAGACTGGGGCTCTCATCCCCATCCTCCAGTCCTGCCCTGGAGAAGTGCCCTGTGTTTTCTCTCCGTGGCAGGCTGTTTGGCCTCTTGACTTCCCCTGGGAAATGTCTGGTTGGATTTGAGTGTAGGTATGTGCTGGACCTCTCCTTGGTGGTGCCTGTTTTCTGCTGAAGGCCGCCGAGCACTGTGCTCCACGATTGTCTTCCCATTACCTCGCAGAACAGGTTCTTAGTGTGCTGTCTGGGCCTGCCCAGTCTGGCCATGCTGCTCAGTGCAGGCCGGTTTGCAATGTGCGTGCCACGTGAGGCTCGTCTCGTGGCGTTTCATCTGTGCATGGCAGGTACCATTGTGTCCAGCTTGTGGTTGATGAAATTCTCTCTGGAGCTCCAGTGGAGACAGGTGTTTGGTGTCAGTGAGGCACGATGGCTCTGGAATTCTGTTTCCACCTTCCTGTGTGGGCAGCTGCACTGAGGGACCTGGACCTGGGTGGTATCACTGTATCCACTGTGGACATACCGATGCAATGCCAGGGAACCATTTTCAGGGATAGAGGATCGTTACTTTTTATGGGGGCCAGGTCCACGCCATGGCTTATGGACCAGCCTCCCTAGCACAGATGTCCCTGTTGGAGGCTGGGGACTGTCCAGCTTGTGGCTACTGTTTCTCTTCCATGTTCGGTTTCCCTTTGGAGGAATCAGGGTTCCATTCTCACCCGTGAGCACCCAACACAGTGAACCCCTCCCGCTCCGTCAGAGGTGGTGCATGCGTGTTGTCCCCAGGGCCCCTTTCCACCTTCTGTCATGGCCTCGAGCCGGGAATGTGCACCCCTGAGCGGTGTGCAGAAGCTATTGGAGTTGGCATCCGTGGATGGTACCCCTCAGTGTCTGTTGTGGCGTGGCGTGGGGAATGTCCGGGTCTGGTCTCTGGTGCAGGGCGGGCCTGATGAGATGTCTAGTGAATCCCTCCGTGGGCCCTCAGCCAGGCCAGGCAGACACCTATGCAGTCAAGCAGAGACACATTCACCTCGTGGTCCGTGGAAGGAAACAGAAGCTTCCCCATGGGATGGTCTTGAGGTAACTCAGAAAGGCCAGGCAGGTGAGAGTGAGGCACAGGCTGGGGTGCACAGTGAGACTGACTGTGTTCCCCATCCTCACATGTGGATTTTCTGTGTCCACTACGCAGGAGGAGTTGGCCTGGCGTGCCTGCCTTCAGCTGTGCCTGCCTGGCTCCTGAGGACCAGAAGCGCTGTGGAATCCTGCGAGCCTTGAGTCCTCCCAGTGAGCCCCGTCTGGTGTGTGATTAAGGGTGGTAAGCGTTTCCTTCTGCAGCCTGTAGGTGTCTTTGTGTGGCTCCCTCCCCACTGTCCCTTGTGTGGCTCAAAATGGCCATGCGATTTTGGTCCTTGCATGGGCTGTTTTTATGGGGGACGGTTGTGGAGCCCTGGCTCTACCTTGGCCTGCAAGGGCTTCTAGGCAGGGCTTTTCTCAGTCCCCTGGAACCCTGAAGGCACCTGAAGCATTTCTTCATGTTCTTGGGTTGGTGATGACACCATAATAATATTCCTTAGAAAAGCTCAACAAAATGAGTGCAAACTCTGTCATTCTCATTGTGACTGAGGTCTTGCACATGGCGTCATGCAGACATGGCAGGAAGAGGGGTCCACATCCGTGTGCCTCCCTTCCTGAATCTGTGCAGGCATTCATCACAAAGCAGCCCTTCTTCCCTGGGGACTTAGGAACGTGCTCAGTGGAGTGGGCGAAGCATGAGAGCCTGGGTTGAATGGGTCTCCCCCGTGTGTCATCCACCGAGGCTGGGGGCACTTGGTCACCCCTTGCTGAGTTTACTCCAGGCTCACTTGGGACCAGTGTAGTGCTTCTAGCTGGTTGGCACTGTCAAGCCTGACTTTGCTGAGTGACAAGGTCGTATTGTCCTGGAAGAGGGCAGAGTGATGCTGTTCAAGAGACCTGGACAGAGCTAGGTTGGCGGTATATGAGGAAAAGGGGCAGGGACTTGACCAGATGACGGTCCCCTTTGCCAGGTGCATGGAGGGAACTCATTCTCACTGGGGCTTCCCTTCGAGCCTGGGCAAAAGGCCAGGATGTCGGGCCTTGCAGGAAACTGAATTCAGGTCCTGAGGGCCAGGTGTCCCTGATAAGGTGTCTTGGACCTTGGGGCGGGGCACATTGCCGCACTCATGGTCTGCAGGGAGAAAGCTCCACTTGGAGATGGCCACATTCCCTTTATTGTCTAGGTGTTTGTCACTGGTCATTCACCAGCACCTGGGAGCTTGGGACCACGAGTTGTGTTGGGTGGGCACGGTGGGTGAATTTGGATGTAGCCATCCCTGAGATGCTTGCATGCGGCCAGCTATGTGGAAAGGTTGGGAGTTTAGGCAAAGTGAGTGTCTAGCGAGCTCCTGTTTGGGCAGTATAGTTAGTGCCTGCCGTTGATGGATGCTGGTCACTCTGAGTCGGTTCAAGGCCAGGTCCTCATTCTTCTGGCAGAGCACAAGACCAGACCTTGAGGAGAATGCGGTGCTGTCTGAATGAGGAGACTCTGGAGAGGGCCTACTTTAATGGTGTTTGTGGAACAGAAAGTGTGCCCAGATGCAGAGGCCAGCTCGGCGATAATTCTTGGCAGGAAAACCCATGCACTTAAGGGCTGACCTTAGACTGTGGTGTACACAGCTCAGACGTCAAGAACTGCGGAAAGCCTTGACTCCAGCCCCTGTGACCAGGGAATCCCTGACAAAGTGTCATGGGGCCATTGTGTAGAAGTCCAGTCAAGCATTTGGTGTGCTCCCCTTCTCCCCACAGAAGGTGCCATTGGGCTTTCTGTGCTTTGCAGTTTGTAGTTGACCCTTGCGCTTCCCTTGGGAGGTACTTGGGACCCTTGGGAAATGACCAGTGTCACTTTGGCCTGTGTGTCCCCTTGTTGGCTGCTGTTGTATTTTGCTAAAGGTAGCAGCACACCATGCTGCAGGGTTGGCCTCCTCTTGCCTTACAAGCAGATGCCCCTTAGCATGCACTGTAAATGTGTCTGTGTTCTCATGTACTCTTTCAGGACATCTCTCTGGGAACAGATGGCACACCCTCACATCCCTGTCCCGTGGCATTGTTGGCCTACACAGGCCTGGGTGATGCTGACGTGTCTGAGGCAGGCTTGCTTGGCCCACAGACCCTAAAGTCTCATCGCTGTAGGCTGGCATCCCATTCACATTACTTAGCAGGATGCTGACAAATTAGGGTGTGTTGGAAGGGCTTGCTCTTATCCCCACTCCGTCCCACTGGAGAGAGGGTGTAAACCTCCCCTGGTGAGTGGAGATTGGACCTCCCGGGGCAGATACATTCTGTTTGGCCAGATGGTTCTGTGGAGAGGTTTGATTCGCAGAGGCCACATGGAGACAATTTCTGTGGCGTTGTGTCTGCATCGCAGGTCACAGGGTTTATTGTGTCAGGCTTTTTGTGTGACAGAATTCTTTTATCTAGAGAAAGGTGCCTCCTGTCAGTGAGGCAAAGGTCTGGGAATCAGGTTTCTCTCCTTCCCAGTGGCTGGCAGTATGTGGGCCTTCTTGACATCACTTGAGTGCCCTAGAGACATCCTGAAAAGAACATGATCACTTCTGTTGAAGAACTGGACCTTGGCTCATTTGTGGCAGGCGGGGCCAGGACGACCACCCTCAGACCTGTATTACTGACTTGGGGTGCTCTGACTCGTGGCTGCTGGCTTCCACATCAGGATTTCCGTGTCTAGGCATCCGGGTTCCAATCTCCCCTCACAAGGGCACTCTACCCGGAAACCTCTTACCCACTTCTTTAGACATGGTGCACACCTGTCAAGTAAGCCAGGGTCCTCCATCAGTGGTGTCATGGGCTGGGAATGCTCAGCCCCAACTGGTGTGCTGAGCAGGTTCAAATCTGTGGTGAAGCTAGGGCCACTGATGTGCTGCTGGGTCACGGCGATGAGCAAGGCCAGGTTTTAGGGTGCAGCTGTGGGCAGGTGCCAATGGAATCCCTTGGCCAGAGGCAGGCACACACACGGAGTCCAGCACAGTGGCATTGCTCCTGGGTGCACACGCAAAGGAATACGCACATGGGGAGCTCGCGGGGATCCAGTCCATGGCACGCATGTGGTACAGTGAGAGCGCGGGCCGGGGTGGCGTGGGATCGTGTGTTTCCATGGCCTCGTGCGTGATTTCTTCTGTGTGTACTGCTCAGGAGGAGTTGCCAGGTGAAAATGACTTTTGCTGCTGAACCTCGTTCCTGGCGCCCAGGTGGCTGGAACTACTGCGGTCTTTGTGTCCTCCCAAGAGGTCTGGCCCTGAGGCTGCTTCAGGATGGTAAGCATTTTCCTCCGAAACGCAGGAGCCTTCCAGAAGGCTTTGTGAAGGCCCAAGACTTGTGAACCCTGCAAATGACCCATGAGATTTCGCTCCTTGTGTGGACCATTTGCATGGGGCACAGTGGCTTGGACTTGGGTCTTTTGGGGCCTTCAGGGTCTTTGAGTTCCCCCTTGGACTGCGAGGCAGTAGAGGCATCTCTGCATGTGCTCGGATCGATGATGATGCCCCAAAAAACATTCCTTGGAAAAGCTGAACAAAATGAGTGAGAGCTCTAATCCGTCACTCTCGTCGTGACTGAGGTCCAGCACACTGCCTCACACAGGGACCGCAGGAGCAGGGCTCCACGTCCTCGGGCTCACTTTCCTTAGATTGTGCAGGGATTTGTCAAGGATCAGCCTCCTGTCTCTAGTGGCCTCGGAAACCTGTGCTTGTTTGGAAGCCACAGGCCAGGCGAGTCCTGGGGTGAATGGACATGGATCTGGGTGTTGTTCGTGTAGGTGAGGAAGTGCTTAGTAGGCCTTGCTGAGTTTTCCCCAAGGCCCCTTTTGGGCTTCGGCAGTGCCCATTGCTGGGCCCTGAGTTTCCTCAGGACCGGAGCTTATTCTTCTGGCAGAGGGCAAACCCCAGCCCTTGAGCAGACTCTAGTGGTGCTGTCTGAGAGTGTTGACCGTGGACGGGCCTGGGTCACGGTGTGTGTGAGACAGGAGTGGGAGGCTCGACTTGGCTGAGGTTCTGAGTTCAGGCCCCACACTCAGGGTAACCCAGACCAAAGGTCACTAAACATGGACCGGAGCTCCAGATCACACTGTGTGTGGTCCTTACACCCGCACCTGTCTCACCACAGCAGGCCACAAGTGGGTCCTTCAATTTTCTGTCTGCAGCAGTCTGTGGCGATTCTTCAGGGTCCTTTATGGGAAATAGGCAGATGTAGGGTAGCAGTGTGCCCTGGTGCCTGTCATTGTTTTTTTTTTTTTTTTGCTGAAGGACACAGAGCAGTGCCTGAGGATTGCCTTCCCGTTGCCTTGCAATAAAAAAGTTCTTTGGTGTTTTCTTCAGGGCCACCTGTCCAAGCCGCCAGGTTGTGTTGACAGAAATACGTTTGTGTTTCCTTGTGCTCTGTTACAAGTCTCTCAGCAGCCAGGTGTCACTTTCTCCTGTTCCCTGCCACAGGCACTGCTGGCCTGTGTGGGCCTGGGTGAACCTGGCTTTGGTTCTAGTCAGGCTGTGCACAGAGGGCTGGCCCCAAATTCCAGTACCCAAGTGTTGGGCTCCCCATCGGGTGATTTCAACTGAAGTGAGAGTTGTTGGGGGAGTTCTGTCTGTCCTCACCTCTCTGTCTTGCCCGATGGACTTGTGAGCCACCCTGGGGTGGGTATAGTCTGTGGTCGCCCAGACAGGGACATTTTGTTTCTGGCCATGCAGCTCACAGGAAGTGGGTTTAAGCCTTGGAGGCCACCTGTTTGGGGCTTTGTGTCGATGTCTGGGCCCCCCAAAGGCGTCCACTGAGTCAGCTTTGTGGGTGATGAAATTCTCCTTGGAGGTCCAGATGGCAAGCATGCCTGACCCAGGCCCTGGAAGGTGATGTTCTGTTCCTCCCTATGGTTGGCAGGCATGTGGTAGCTGCTGTCCTCGCCTGAGTCCCCAGGGGACATCCTGATGAGCAGCCAGCATTCCCAGCTTTCTGTATTCGGGCCTGGGGTCCTGCGGCTGATGGCTTTGTCTGTCATGCATAACAGGTTTTTATTGTTTCTTAGAAGAGGTTAGAGGGCTCAAGTCTCACCCTGTGGGCCCCCCATCCAGCTACACAATCCCATGTTCAGAGGCCATACAAGGCTATTCAGTGAGCTTGCCATCCCTCCGGCAGTGGTGACCATTGAAGCAGAAGGTGGTGGCCCTGTTCACTGTCTGTGGGGTGTCTGAGTGGTCTGCTGTAGACGGAGGGTCCTTTACGGCCTGCTGTGGTGAGACAGACCCTGGCTGGGCCTGGAGGCGCAGCGTGCTTCCGGGGAGGGGCAAGGGAGTCGCTCCCCTGCAGCTGTGCCACGGCTGTGAAAGACGCATGTAGCGAGCCCACTTCACGGCTGTCCTGTGCGCACACAGGACATGGGAGCTCCCGCGGTATCGGGAAGGGCGAGCGGATGATGAAGTTAGAAGAGGGAAGGCCAGGGCAGCCTGCGTGCCACGGCCACCTTCCTTGCCCTCACATGCAGCCTGTTTCTGTCCCCACTCCTCAGGGGCAGTCGCCTTGGCAGGAGGCCATCAGCGGCGTGCGGCTGGAT